CCAACTGGATTCGTCATTGATTTTTTTTTGTCTTTCATTTATTTATTTTTTTGCTGTTTTTTTTCGCGCATTAACACGTTTGCTTTATTTATCGCATTTTTCTTTATATTTCCATATTTAACACATTTAAAATGGTTTTAAATAATTTAATTTATTTCGAGCAGAAATAAAATTTGTATTTCGTTAAAAAACACTAGTGGTGTTCGATGGTTTTCGTATGATCGTCAAATGATAAGCAAAGAAAGAATTTTGTAAATTTCGACAAGTCAACGAAGCGAATTAGTGCAAAAATGGTAAGCCGATGGTAGAAAAAATAAAAATATTTAAGCAATATTCAAGTAAAAAAAAAAAGCTTAGTTTTTAAGCATTAAGCTTATTAAATTATTTTATTTATGAAATTAATGATATATATTTTAAGGTAATTGATAATTTGAAGATATTTGATTTGATGGAATTGAATGGTGTTGAAATTGTTTGGATTTTTTTCAAGAAATTATCGCTCGAAATAAATTTGAATAGGTAATATTTTTAATGTAAATAAGTGTAATTTTCAAATTTTTTCCATTCGTTTTTTTTTATTTTTTGATTCAATTTACACATATATTAATTTATTTTTTTTAAATAAATTAATAACGAAAATTGATGTAACGAAAATTTGAAAGACTAATTGGATAATTTGATAAGTAATAAGATAAATTTGATAAGTTTATTTATATAAAAGGTACTTGAAAATTAGAATTATTAGAAAAAGGAATCGAAAATATTATTTATTAAATAATATTTTTTTAATATTTTAAGTTTTTACTATTGTTATTTTAGAAATCTTTTTTAATCTTTAAATAATAATAATAATGATAATTTTAAATTCTACATTATCAAATTTATAATTTTTATTTTTATTTTATCTTAATGTTTAGCGCAGTGAAATAATTTTACATTCCATCTATATTTCTATTCAAATGTTGAAAGAATTTTGCACTACTAGTTAGTGGAACTAGCCGAATTAGAAATAGTGAGTAATCTTAAATAAAAAGAAAAAAAATATAGGGAATGCTAATTAAGGGGTTTTATACTCGCAGCTCAACTTTAGAAATTCGTTTTAGGTACAATTATATGCATATTAAATAGAATTTGAATATTTGATGCTTTATAAAAATGAATAAATATATAAATATGTATACATTTATTTGTTTAAACATAAACCATAAGGATATTTGTTGGTATTTTGTGTTTCGCTGAAAAAATATTTAAATTGGAAATTTATATTCGAAAAGATTTTACATTTTAATGTTTCTACGTAAAATTAAATAAAATTTTCCTACCTTTTCTAATTTATTTTTTTATTAAATTATTTATGTTTTATAAATTATTTTTAAATTCTTTTATAAAAAAAGTTCATTTTATTAGAAGTTTATTTAAGCTTTGTATGTTTCTTAGAAGTTATTTTTTCGCAAAATTTGTACATACGTAAGAAATAAAAAGTGGTTTTCCTTATTTTTAAGGAGAAAATGCATGTGTATCAATGGCGTCAAATTCACCAAGTTTTTCTTTTAATCGCGATCAGTAGCGTTAATCAGCTTCAGATAATATATGCTGGTTCTTACAGCGAAAAGTTTGTAGGATTCTAGCAGCTATATATATATTTTTATTTGAAAAGTTATCGTGCCTTTTTTTACAGCACTATATAATCATATATTTATTTAGTAGATAATACGGTAAAGAAAGCTCATAGTTTTCTAATAAGTAATTAATTCTATGGTTAATTATATTATTCTCCGACATAAATCGATTAGATATTTGTATTTTATTTGTTTTTAGATAACCTTTTATTTATTTTTATTCCTTATTTTGCTAGAATTAACGACAAATAATTTACCAATAATTTGCTATTGTTTCCATTTTTATTTTTTCGGAATTTTCGGAATGAGGAAATTCCATGGAAAATTGAATAAATCGAGGAAATTAATATTTAAACCAAATTTTTAAAATAATTTTTGGCGATTTTTTATCATCTAATAAAATTGAACATTTAATCTCCTTTCAAAACTCAGTAATTCTTTTGATACTAAAAGAATTTGATTAATTTTCATTTTTATGAAATTTGAATTCATTAAGGTATTATGGAATGGAAGAATTGGAATGAAGAGAACGAATAAGCTATTATATTGATGGAGAGTGTCTATTTGTGGTGGGCTAGTGATGAAGAACCAGCGACCAGCGAAGGCAACGCTCTATAATGGTACTATTAATGCAAATGGTATTTTAACGAAAATGATTGCGAACATGTGAGATTTTATCGGCTCGGAAAGCCCATAAAATGAACCTTAGAGATGAGTGGTCAAACGCAGTTAACTTTTTAATATCATTCTCACAGCCATATAGCAAGTAAATCACAGCTTATATAGACACGCACTTTTCGTTTTGATGGTAATTCCGCAGTAGATCTTAGAAGGTTCGCCAACCAAATGAGGGCATTTCTAGGTTATTCACATGGTCATTTGAGAATAGAGTGGACAGACAATATATAAAACTTTTAATCGGTGTTGAATTGATGAAAATAAGTATTTTATTAGTTGTCCGTATGAGATGAAAAAATTTATTCACATTGACCTTTTCACTTGTCGACGCATTTTTTAGCAATATTTTTATTTCCTTATAATTTTCAGCAAATCTTTTGATTGTTCATAAGCATCCATTATCCAGTCTATCGCAAAAAAGTTGAATACTATAGGGGATAAAATACAGCTTTGACGAATGCCTCGTGTTAAGCTTTGATGATCAATTCTTAGCGAGTGAATTAGAAATGTGAGAATGGTTAATGCGGTGGTATAAGGCAAAAAGAAAAAGGAGAGAATAAACAAAGAATTAGGTATTCAAGCATTTATTTCCTAATGCACGTGTCAATGTCAGACAAAATGGAAATTTGGTTAGATTGGAGTATTTCTTTAGCGATTTCAAATTTTTTTATTAAAATAAGAAATTGAATATTTTTTCAACAAAAAAAAGTGCATTTATTTTTAAGATCAAATTGAATTGTAAGTTTTCGGCGGTAATAACAATTCACGGGTTATTTTAATGTACCATCGACTTAAACCTCTAATATTTATTAATGCTTGGCTTTCCTCGTTTTTTGGCTTCCTCATTATTCCATATTTTGATTAGAATAAAGATTTATCTATAAGGACAAGCAGTTTTGAAGCATCTGTGGTATCTGTGGTGGTACTATTGAAATCACTTGGACTTTCACTGCTCGTTTTATTTAAATAATTTTTTTTTGTAAATAAATTGTTTTGCTCTTATTATACAATATATAGTTTCAGTTTCTTGGATTCAAATAAATGAAGAAATTTTACTTTTTTGTTTTCGGAAAGGACCAGTGGCAAGTTTAATTCAGTAATTAATATAAATGATATTATTAATTCAATAATTGATATAAATGATATTGTTTTCGATAGGATAGGAGTTCATTATTTGCTGTCTTATGTCAGGTCAAAATAAATAGCTTATGCTTCCATTTTTTGTAATATATTATTGGAAGAGGAACTCAAATGGTTGCTTTGGATTTATCTATATTCAAATATCTCCCAAAAATTATCTAAATTATCTTGATTTATCTAACTTAAAAATTATCTAACTTTCAAATGTGAAATCGAATTATTTAAGTGAACTATGAAAATAAATGCGAATAGAGTAGAAATAACAAATAAATTGTAGTTTGTTCAGAATTTTTTGAAATTAGATAAATTATCGTTAATCTAAGGAATTGCTTAAATTATGTTTTAAAATTTGTATTTTTTTGAAAGATTTCATAGGATTCAATTTTTGTGGAGTATTTTTAGATTTAATATTATGATTTTTAGGTTTGGAAGTTATTTGCATCCATCTTACCTCCATTTGCTATTAGGCAAAGTTATTTTTTGGCGAGGAAATTGTGGAAGTATAATTATGAAAATAAAAAAATATAATTATGAAAATATGAGAAAAAATGGTCAAAAGGCGAAACATCTATTTCATGGTAAATCAAATAAGATAGAAGTTTTGTATATATATATAGGAATATTTTCACTGGATTTATCGATTTAATAGTTTTAAAATTTCATCTTAAAACAATTCGTTGCTGAAGTGAAAATTTAAAAGTAAGTAGTTTTTTGATGCAGAAAAAAATCTCTTTAAAGATCAAGTGAACAATTAGTTGTATCCATCTTATTTCCATTTGCTATAAGGCAAAATGATCACAAATGGTTAACACATAAATTTAATCAGAATTTAATTTAATTTAATCGATAGTTTGAATATGCGATCGGAACAAAAGGGTCATTTGGTTTATTCACTTTTTTTTTACTTCAATTTTATTTGATCTTTGCTTTTTTCCATTTATCCAGAAATCACCATGCAAAAAAGGAATATTTCTTAATTTTATTTATCATTTTTATTGGCGGTTTACGACTAAATTCAGGTCTTAGGACTTTATACTGTGAAAAAACGTTCGTTTGTAATTTTATCTTTCATTATTTTTGTAATTTTTATTTTTTTCACTGAATATTTAATTGAATATATAGTTTTTTTGATTAGGGAATAGTATGGTCGAGTGGAGCGAGATTCAGTTTAGCAGGTTCGCTCCCTATTGCTTATAAATGAATCGTTATTAAAAATGAAAGGTGGTTCTGTGCAGCCATGTGCATATCTAGCAGCTATCCAGCGAAGAAATTTCACTGTGGTCGTAATAGCAACTGAATTAGAAATGCTGCGTGGTATTAAAAGGGGATAAAGAAAGGGGATAATTGGGCTCATGGTAAGATTCTTGGTTTAATTTGGTTATTGCTGGGAGAAAAGTTGCTGGAATTTTGAAAAAACTTTTCGAAAGAACAGCTATCGTCTTATTTATAATTTTTATAATTTTTATTTTAGTTTTTACGTTTTAGGTTCATGTGGCGTTTTGCGTTTTAAGACTTCTAATGAAGGGATCTTTAAATTGAATTTTTTAATGTCAGGTTTAAATCATGCAACGTGCGGAAGATGTATCAGTTTTACAACCTTCAGTTGCAACAGCTTTAAATGGTGTTGATTCACTGTTGGTTTATTATAAAGATTCAACTATTGAAGTGCAAAATCTTCTTCGTAACGAATGTAATGTCATATATGAATGTCGGTGAGTGAAGTTTAATATCTTATTGTGCGAACCTCGTTTTTAAGGGATAATTTTAGGTAATTTGAAACAAATTATTTAAACCATTCTTTATTAACCATTCTTCTTATTTCAAAATTATTTAGGCTATGCTGCAATTTATTTCGAAGTGCCCTGAACTTCGTCACCCATAAACGGAGCTATTGCCGAGGATTATGCCATAGTATTCCGGCAGAAGATGAAAATGCAATGGTGCGATTTGTGCAAGAAAAAATATCTGAAGCATTCGGCGCAGTAGCGCAAGAATCTGCCTCAAGAGATGCTGAAGAAAGTCAAGATGATGGATTAATTGCGGAAGCTTGTGGCTCAAGTAAAAATACGAAATTAATCCAAACTGCGGAGCAAAACAAAAATACGCGTCGTCGCAGTAAGTATTATTAGTTTTATTTCAAAAAACGAGGAGTATATTTTTTTGTTATTTTCTTATATTCTGATTTTTCATATTTCTTAGTGTATTTTTTTCAAAAATCCATTTGAATTTATTTGTCGTAGTATTTTAATCGATATGTAATTGAATAAAATGAATCAAATGAATAAATATTTGTGGAATACTGCAATTTATTGAACTTTTGACCTCTACTATAAATTTTGCAACAGCCAATTGAAATTTTATAATCAAATTTTAGATCAGTCATCGGCAAAGAAAGCCAAAGGATTGCTGAAAAGAACAAATCTTGTGAATGTTCTCAACAAGCGTGTTCAACATTATTCCGTTACATTACCTGATTCCAAAGTATAGAACAATCTTTTATTAACCAGGGATTTAATTATCTGAACATTTTATTCTTATATTAATATTTTTTAGCACTGTATGTTGTTAAGTACGTTGCCTGCTATAACTAAGCCAATACCAACTACAACATTTGTTGATGGAGAGCAGGTAACGTATTCCAAATTATCTTTTTTTTTCGTAAGCGATAAATATATGCAAAAATAAATATCATTTGAAAATTTAAAACGAAGAAAACGGAATTTATTTCGAGGTCATTCTTAGGTCATTGAAACGATGCCTCGTAATATCGCATTGAAGGAAAAATTCCCTCCTGATCGAGTGCCGTTAATTATTCCTCATGATCTTTCAAATAGATATCGAGCAATGAATCTGCGCAGTCGAAAATTTGACCAATCAAAGATCGATATAGTTCAAGAAATTGGGCCACAGGAGGTTTTCTAAATTTTCCTAAATTTTGGATCTATTATGATAATTCTGACATAAATTATTGAAATCGCTTGATCTACTCTGCCCAAATGTTTTCTTTTAAGGTTGCCATATTGGATAGATTCAAAAAGTACAATCAGCTGACAGTTGAATGCAGTTCGTTAACATGTCTTCATAGTGATTGCAAGGAGATTAGACCATTTTCGTCAATATGCACATTGGCGTATCATGTCACTGTGAAGCACAACAAACGTGAAAACAGAATGATACCTTGCTATCTGTGCGATCTTTTGTTTGAAACGTAGGTTTATATTTAGCTGAAATTTTTTTTCTCAAGCTACAATTTTTTTCATTTTCCATTCAATTTAAATAATTTGTAATTTTTAAGCACCAATTAAAGTTGCTTGATCTCTTTTGTTAATCTGTAATAAATCGTTGCATTATTTTAGATACGAATCAACAATGGATCATTTAAAAGAGAATCATTTGCAGTATCGGATTGAACATTTAAAGCATAGGGCATTACATGAAGAAAAATGTGATACGAGAAAAAATAATAAGCGTCTTAAGAATGCTCCTAAGGTAATAAATGAATTTTTATGTACTATTAACTCATAAAAGTATGAATATATATTTTGTAGAAAATTTTAATATAAGAATATAATTTTAATATAAAAATTTTTTATATTCTTAATGAACTGATTTTCGTTATGACTATAGTGTGGTAATTATCCATTAACTATGCAACTGTACAAACAATTTTGATGTATCATTTAGAAATGCATTATTGAAATTCAGGTGGTCAATATACAGTCTCGTAGTTTAAGTCCTCTTTCCGAAGACTTTCTTGAATCAAGCGGTTCGGAAGAATTGTTCAACGAGAGCGATAATGAAGCTCCTGTTCTGGATTTTGAGGGAAATGGTGTTACGGAAGAAATACCTGATGGCATATATGATGACCTAGTGCAGGTAATTATTAAGCAATTGTTAAAACGATTTATCCTAGGAATTGTCAATATTTCCTGAAAATTCTCCTAACAACTGTTTGAATTCTGACATCCTTTTTTCACATTCATCAGGTCCTTCTGACCAATCAATCTTCAAATACCCGCTGAATTCCTCAGGCGTTCCATTAATCAAAATCCTCACCTTCAAAATTTAAATTTGTAATTGCGATAGTTTGGTGGTAGAATGACTTAGGAAATTATTTCTCTCGTCTTGGAGCGCCCTTTCAGGAAACCTGTCAGTTTGCCTAAGTTGTGCAAGCGAGAATTCCAGAATTGGTGAATGCTTATAGAATGAATTGTGGTCGTAACAAAAGCAAATAGTAAATTTGGTTAGATGTGAAAGAAATAATTGGTTGGGAATAGGATTATTTGCGAAAGGGATAAGAGTCTGGGAAGGCGGAAATGATTTGAAGGTTTTATTGGACCAAAAAAATAGTGGGGATTTTCTTAGGGGAAACATCGTAATGTAGTTTTCCATAAAAATGCAAGTGTTGGACGATATCAAAGATTATTTAGGACGGAGAATTCAGATACGGATATTTGCTCGATTTTTTACATGTTGTAGTAAAAGGAACCTTAGCAGCATGATAGGACCATAGAACGATCTAACGGAATTACCAAAGTATATGAGAAATTAAAATGTAACTATGTGGTTTTATCAAAAGTTCTCTTGATAAGTAAGGTGTTAAAAACGATTTAGAAATTTTGGCTGTAAATTTTGAGGAATTCTAAGCAAGAACAATATGGTGATATGATTTCGAAAGAAGAGGTTTAAGGAACTTAACGTTGTTTCAAGGGATATTAACGAGATATAAAACGTTGCGAGGAGAGATAGGGAATTATAATTGAATCTAAAAAATTTAATAGGCTATGATACATGGTCCAATTAACAGGATAAAGTAGAACCTTTTTGCTTATTTCTTAAAAAATAGCGGAGTTTTGAATGAAAAAAAAGTAATAGATAAAATTTTTATCAAGAGTGAGGAGATTCAATCGCATTACGTTATTGATACTTTTTTCATTTGTTCTGTTCTTAAAACTAGTTATTACTGGATCTAAAATCACTTTAGTTGATTCAGTTAATTTAATTAATTTAATCAATTAAGTTAATTTAATTTAATAAATTAATTTATATTATGGTTAAGAAAGTTTTCCGCCTTCATTCAACATCCCCATTTAAATTTTTTGACTTAGATTTGCAAATAAGTTTGCCTCTTTATTCATTTCGTTTTCTTTTATACCATTTAAAGAAATCGTAGTATTAAAAATCAGTTAGTTGGATATTATTCAACATCGATTTTGTGTCACCCAGTCGTATTTGACTCCTTACGGCCTTAGTTCGATTTTTCAAAACTTTCAGCATTTCACTTGTTGTCTTCACTTTTTTTTTCCCTTGTACCATTTTCAACAGTATCCCTTTCCAAAAATCTAAATTCGCATAATATGCTCAAGGTATGATAATTGAGCCTGGTCTTTTATGCATCGTGCATCGATTAAAACTCTGATTTGATTTATTCGATTCATCAATTTGTTTTCTTATTTATCCATGATATTCCGAGGAGTTTTTATTCTACATTAAAGATCATCACTACTCTTCCTATCTCTTTAGTGTCAAAGTCTGGTATCTATGAAGAATTAAGGAATATCAGGGCTCCCAGCACTTGAACAAGGCCATCTTTATTAACTTTATTCTAACTTTTTTGTTTTTGTTTTTGAAAAGCAACCAACACAGATAACCAGCACTTCGATGTATTAAAGCCATTTCTAAATATTATTACTGCAATCTTCTTTATATTTAGTTTGGTCCCATTTTTTCTCTCTGTTATTTGATGCTTGAAACTTTGATTTGAATGATCCTTTGTATTCTTGGTTATTCTATTCTTATCAGAGTAATGTTTCAGCATAATGCAATTATTTCTTCCTTCAGTTTTAAAACAACTCTTTTTTTCTAAATTAATGTATATTCTAAAATTAATAATCTAAAAGTAATAGGTGAAAGTTAGCACCTTTGTCTCTATTGATACTTGAAGCTAGATTGTTTCGCCATATTCTCTTCATACTCTGGTTCTTGATTTGTATATAAGTTTCTCATAAGGGCAGTGAAGTGTTCACACTTTCTTCCATGGGATTTCCGTTTTTCTGAGCATATTCCTTAGCTTGAGATAGCAAACCAAAGGCAAGTAGAGGCTTTTCGATAATGCGTAAAGTATATATTGACTTCTTTTTGGTAATTTTTAGCATTCATCCAGCGTATATCAGAAATATCTTATCCTTCTTTTTTTTGAAACAATTTGAACATTTAGCATCTTTCTTAAATGATCAGCACTGGATGACCCTAAGCATTATTATTTAGCATAAAGGATTTAGTATATTTTGGATATTGCACAGCAGTTGTCTTTTTTTGGAACATAAATTGAATTCTTCCAGTAGATTGGCCACTGTTCTTCAGGTTTATTAGCTTATTATCTTTACAGATTTTTTTGTTTTTTTGCCAAATTTCACTGGATATTATATAAGTTTTCTGTTTTCTGAACGGGAATTTGAGTGGGTGAGAAGTAGAGAGATGAAGGAGAGATTATCAAGAGGTTATAGCTTTTATAAAGAAAGAGGGCTGAAAAGAGCTGTACTGCAAAGTCTGCATATATTTATAAGTATATATATATATATATTTATATAAAGCAAATACAAACAACATACACTGAAAGGCATCAAGTAGTTGGCTTCATTTATAGTGCTCAGTGTATGGCTCAGATCCTCGCAAGATTAGATGAGAGATTCCTCAGAGAAAATCATGGAGAATAATAAGATGAAAATTCTATGAGAAAATCATCTAGATATACAAATATTCCAGTCAACTAGTTAGTCATGGTAGTAGACAAGAACGACAAATTAACATTGAATTAATGACAGATATGGATGATATCAAATGATAAAAGGATATATTATGAGAAGGATATATTAAGATATATTATGGAGAGATACCAGAAACTGAGAGAGGAACTAAAGAAATTGTGGAAAGTAATGGAGCTCCAATGATAATTGGAGCAGGAACTGTGGTCCCCATACTGAAAAAACTGGTTTCAGTGGTTTCGGCAGATTCCAGGATTAACATCAAAGATCTCTATCCCAGAAGTGCGCATTGCTAGGAAAGGCTACTATACAGAATCCCAAGTTTCTGGCAGAGGATTCGAGGTTGAGGATGATCCATGCCACCCAAAAGAGGTGAAAAAGGAAGGAAAAGGAATTTAGGAAAAGAAAGGAAAAGGAAAAAAGGAAGAAAGGAATTCATAAGGGCTCAGCCATTTCCTGATTTTGATCCCTTCTTTCTCGAATTTCCTAATTCTTGATAGTTTATTTTCAAATTTTCAAATTTCTTTCATTTATTTTCAATGATTTTAAATTCTTTAGTCGCCTCACAAACTTGAAAAGTTATCTTATAATACAGGAAAGAACATCAGTGAAAGGTTTTTTTTTATATTTTCCTATAAGATCAAATTTTTTTTCTAATTGAGAATTTTATGGATAGAGTCTGTAATAAATAAGAAATAAAAATTAAGAATTTTTCGGCTTTTTTCGTTTTGTCTCAGAAGTTCTTATAAGTAATTTCATTAAACTATTTGCAGAAGTTCTTCAAATGATGATGCGATATCCGAGCAGGTTTTTGATTTTTTTCTATTTCACTATTTTAGTTTGACTTCTCGGTTTAGCAAATTTGCCAGTAATTTTCTGTGGATTTTAAAGAGAAACACAAGAAAAAGTATTAAAAGAAATTCATATTTCTTACAGTAATATCGTTTAGTCTGCACAAGTTGCCATTATCGGCATCTCCAAAATTGATAAAACTAATTTGGTGAGCTTTTCGAAACTCCGTATTCCTTTAGTTCTCTTCATCAGATTTTCATTCTTTTAAGTCGATTTTTCCAAATTTTAGGAAGTTGCTCTTTGTATGGAATATATGATTTCTTATGTATCGGGAGAGGTTCAGCGTCAAACTGAAGAGCATATGGTAAAACAATGTAACGATCTAGCTAATGAAAATAATAATTCATCATGGAAAACAAAATCTTGTCCGAAAACCGTCAAAGAAGTCAAAAGCAAAGGACTCGCAAAGATTAGCAAAAAGGATATCGCAAACAAAATAGCCAAAAGAGCAGTTTGTACTGATAATATTGATGTAGGTTCATCTAAGATACTTTTGAAAAATATTAAATGATAAACTTTTGAATGATTTTCCTTTTACAGGATTTGCAGTATTATATTACATTATAAAATGAAGTTTCCTTTTTTTCATGCATACTTGTTTGGTCGGAAAATTTGGATTTGGTCATCGAAAGCTACCAAGTGTCAATAAAAAGAACTCAACAATTAGAAAAAACTTAGATATTAAAAATTTTAGGCACCTAAAGATAAAAAAGGTGTTCGTCCTCAAAGAAAACGTGTGAAGCCACTGTGGTTGACAGTCAGCGAAGATGGAGATACAGTAAGCAGGAAAATTGTTCATTCTGAGGTTAGTTTTGCCAGCGAAATTTTAAAACTTTTAAAACTTTTAAGCATCTTAACTATGTGAAGCATTCATTTTTTCATATTGTAACTATTTTGTCTGAAGTCATTTATTTTTAAGGCAAAAAAGCGATTTGCCACAACATCAGTAAAACATGAGGATAGTAGGAGTGATAGCAGTAATGTGAACACTATAAATGAACCAGCGAAAGAAATTTCAAAAAAGCGATATAATCGTAAGCGACTTGTTGATGGAAATATTTCTCCAGAACTTAATGACGAAGTAAGTAAGCGAAAAATTTTCTAAATGGTTTAATCATTTGTTCATTTTTATTTTTGAAGTTTCCCTTTAATTTTTTTAATCGTACACTGTGATTTCGTTAAACGCAATTTCCAGTTTCCATTTTTTGTTATTATAGAATAAGAAACAAGATTTGATTTTGGGCTAGAGATGCACTTGGACCGGAAGCAGCCACTTGGGGTACTTTTAATGAAATAGGAATATATTGAGGTTAATTTCTTAAGCTGATAGAACCGAATTTTTTTATTTACAATAAGTGGATTCGAATAAAGATAGACTCTTTTCATAAAAGGGTAAGAAGTTTTAACAGTCCAAAAATTAATTAAAAATACGGTATTTTACAGAATGAAACTTCGAAGAAACGGTGTGGTCGTAAATCTTTTGTAAATAGTGGCAGTCATTCGCAGGCATCAGGAGAACAATTCTATAATGAAGTATATATTTTACTCTATCTTACATTTGTATATGTTGTTGCATCGTTATCTGTTAAAGTAAATATCATCTGTAGTATTGAGTAGTACTGAAAACTGATAATCAAAGAAATGTTGCTGAGAAGGACTATTGGAAGATAAATGTGTTTAACATACTTGTTCTTTCTCGACTTCTTTTTTTCCTAAATCAAATACTTAGTTTTCAAGGGTTACCACTGCTTTATTACTACATGGGAAACTATCTTTTTTCCTTGATTATTATTGATATTAATTAAATTTTTTGAAGAAACAAATCAAAAAAAGGCGACGTACTTATAAATCGATGACAATTGACGAAGGTGAAATTAATCCAGATGAAGAATTCTGCAGTAATGAGGTATTTTTTGTTGATTTATTTCTTCTATTAAGGCTTTACAAATTCTTACGATGCAGCATCTATTATTATTATTTAATTACCTATTTTATCGAAAAGGAGATCCTTATTTTTGTATATAGTTTTATATTCTTCCATTATGTTTTCCAATATTCTAATAGGTATTCTAATAATTGCGAATAAAACATTTTTTTGAATATTCGATTTGATTATATATTTAAGAAGAAAATCGCTAGCAAGTTACGTTGTACAAATTTTGCGAGTACTTCATGTGATAAGTCAGATGGTGAAAGCGGCAATAGTATTAAATCTCTTGCTAATGAGGAAAGCACCAATCAAAAATCGACTAGTAGTGGAGAAAATCCTGATCAAAAGATTGCTGAAAACAAAGATAGCATGGAACGCAATAGTGGCGAAGTGAATTTCTTGAATATTTATCTTCAGTGCTTGTCTGGTTACCATTGCACTGATTATAAATTTCTGACAAAATTATAAATTTATAAAAAATGGTTTTAATGGATTTTAAGGAAAAATTGGTTCAATTTAAAAATTGAAGGTCATTCGGGCTCGAACTATTAATTAATTAATACATATTAATACATTTTTCCTTTTCTGATATGATGAACATTTTATATTCAGCTGTCTACTGCCATAAAGCCTCGTCCATCAAGAGAACGAAGGCGGCCAAAATGGACTAATAATTTTGTCATCACAGGTTTAGGGTAATTTTCAGTAATTTTCAGTTTTTTTTTTATTCGAGGCAAATGTGTTATATCGACGTATGACAAAATTTTTTAAAAGAAAAAGAATTATTACCGAAAAGTATTATTAAAGTATTATTAAGTATTATTATTAGTAAAGAATATTAAAGTATTAAAAGTATTATAAGTACAAGAAAAAAAAAAGTATTATTTCTTTTCTGTTTTCAGTCACCGAAAACGACGAACTATTGAATCCGTAGATGATGTTACTACATGCAGTGAAATTGTGGATACTGATGAGTTTTCCGCTAATGATGGTGATCGATCTCCTAATAATTGCAAAGTTGAAATCGGTGAAGCAACAGCTGATAATGTTGATACAATTTTTGTTGTACCAAAAAAAAATCCTAGGTTCAAATTACCCTATGATTTTTCATATTCAGAAATGGAGATCGTTTTTCAATGAATTTTTCTAAGAAATATTAGAATTCAACAAAGTTTGTATTTTCAGCCTTGATGAGCCTGCTCCGCATAAATCTGCTTCTGCGTCATCTGCCACTTCCGAAAGACATCGAGTAAGTCGACTTCGAAAAAAATTTTTTTAAGATATTTGAAACTTACTAAAAATTTTTTTGCACGTTTTTTTATTTCTGTGAATCATAATGACTATAAATGAAAAAGTTATAATTCCGCTTTAAGTAATTGTGCTTTGAGCAGCATAGATAGTTGCGAAATTGCAGAAAAAATGTTGGTATTTGTCGTTTTTCGGTATTTTTCATTATTTTTTAGTTTATATGTTTTTTAAAATATTCCAGGATAATCTAGTGGCATGCCATTATACTCCTCGTGCACGGAAAATCAAATTTGGTATAGAGGAACAGCAAGGTTGTTTATTTTTAGCATTTTGTTTTGTTGGAAAGCAAAAGCTTTTCAACATTTTATTCAAATAATTCATATTCATTGAAGAACCAGAATTGTTCATCAGCATTGTCAATGATTTACTCGATATCTATTTTCAATATTATTTCAGAATTTTCTGTTGATGGAGAAGCAAATATAACTTGGTCTCATTCGCGGCGCAAACAGAATTTATCTAGTATCACTGAAACGGATGATATCGCTGTTAGTGGACATCGCTATACTTTTTTATGATGATTTCATTTTAAAGTTTCCATAAAAATTTAATTCATTTGGTTTATTTTATACAGATAAATTCAATCTCATTTAAATCAATGTGATTAAATGAAAATGCAGATAAAATTTTTTTTCTCGAATTGCAGTTATAAATTTTGTCTTTTTTCGAATTTCTTGCTTTTCATTTAGATCGTTCGGTTTCCAAATGGTAGGGCACCACCACGACGTGCTGATCTCTCTGAAATTCCAGTATATTTGACTGAGGTGCAGCGTGATCTATTTTTTTCATTCATACGTCCGGCAGCGTCATTACCTGAGCCCTCTCAAGAATGCCTGCAGTGTAATGCTATACTTCCTAATTTAGTGGTAAAATTTTTTTTTTGACTTTACTCATTGTGCGTTAAAAATATTTTTTGATTTGAAATATCTCTCTTTTGCTAGGCAAAATCTCCTTTTTTACCTTCATATTTTTTTGCGTTTAATGAGTTTTAATTAAATTTTTAAAGGAAGGTAGACGGCATGCTGTAGGTCATTTGCGGGTAATACGCTTACGATGTTCATTGTGTGAATGTGGCTCATTCTTCTGTTCTGATATGCGTCGACATCTACAGGAAAGGTACTGTGAAAAACTTCATATGGCTCCTGAAGGTTTTGTGGCTCCAGGAGACTGTATACCATGCATGGATAAGAACCAGGTATGTTTTTTACCATTATTTGAGTTCAGGATCGGAATTCAGTATCTTAACTTTTGATTGACATCTTGTTCTGCAGGCAGATAAATTAACAAAGCTTGTGGATCCTTCTAGACCTGGCCGAGTTATGTTCACATCTGGCAAGGTTTTTTTAAAATTTTTTTGTTCTTTTCGATTTTTTTCATTTGTATGTTCGAAGATTTTTGGAAAACAAATGTTTTAACATTTAGCTTAAAAAAATTGATTCGCTTTGAATGATTTTTTGTTCGTTTTTTTTTTAGATTATCAGTTCATCGAATCCGCGTCCTTATTTCCCTGATCCTGAAATTGAAAAAAATGTTCTTGGTCCAACCTGGTCGATGGTATTAGGATCAAGTCCGAAAAAGGCCGTCATATCGATGGATTTAGATCAGAAGGATGATGAATAACGAAACCTTTAAAAATTCCATAGGTTACAGAAAAATTATTTAGTACGTTACATTATTTATTTCTAAACTATTATCGTTTCAGTTCTTTTTGATTAGTAGTATTTGTATTCTTCTATAGAATAGTTATTCTTAATTTTCAGAGATAAATATATCACTGATTGTTTTGCAGTTTCTTTTTGTAATCAGTTTTAATTCATTTGCTATGATTATATTAGCTTTCTTGTTTCTTCATTGGTCTTTCACATTAGACTTGACGGAGGCCCATAATAAAAAATTTATCTATCTATTATGATTCCAAAAATTTCTGATTTTAATTGATCATTTTTATTTTTCGATCAGAATTCTAAAGAATTATCTCAGCTATTTAGCACTGCGATTTTGAAGTTTTTTTTCCATCCATCAGCTATTTGTTTTATTGCTCAAGTTTATATTGGGTAAATAGTCATTATTTTTGCTAATTTTGTTTGTATATTCCGATAAATAAATATTTTCAAATTCCGGGTACTTGGTGTTGTAGGCTGAAATATTATGTGGACGTGGGCTATTTTATATTAGTTTTATCATGGTGATTAAAATTTAAATATTTTTTGGTATCTGCTAATAATTATTTTGGCAGGTTTAAATCATATTTGTATCTTTAATTTATTTTTATATCGTTTTCCAAAATCTTCATAATTTTTTACGTTTTTTGATTTTTATATTTTCTCATTCCTTTTAATATGATTTTTTTTTTAAAAAGATATAAGATATCAGCGGAAATTGCTTATGCTATTTCTTATCGATTTATCATGATGAACGACATATGCATTGTTGTCGATATCAATAAATATTTTTTAAATTTCTGTTCAATTAATTTCAATGGTTCTTTTGCCATTTGAAGATTATATAATATTATTAATTGAAAACAAAATATTCTCTTTATTTATTTTTAAATTTTTCAATGCCTTACTTCAGGCATTTAATATATTGTTCTTGTAATTTATGGATCAGTGATAAATCATAAATGATGGCTTCGGAAGCTTCTATCGATGGCGACGGAATTAATTGGAAATAAATCAGTGTTTTTGTACTGATTCCCTTTATCGCGTTAACATGTCTTGCAAAATGAATGTGTGGCGATATTTTCAAATGCATGTTAGTTATTTATTAGAATTACATCACATTAAATTTATCAAATTATCCTTATTTCACGTTCATTGAACGATGGTAAATTCCATACTGTCTGCTTTTAATGAAATCAATATGTGCATTTAATTTCCATATTATTCATTTTTTTATTCATTTCTTTAAACTGTTATTTTGCGAAATATATTTTTTGCAAATTTTTACCGAATTTAAAAACATTTTTTTAATATTTTTGTGATATTATTTTCTATATTTTCATTCATTAATATTAAAATTTAATCACTTTATGCTTGTAATTTTTAATCCACTTCAATTAACAGCTCTCACCATTACTGATTAGGCTGATTCTGCTAACTACTAGGCTAAGATATTTCTTCTGATGTCAGGTCCAATGCCATTGCTGACACTGATAAAAGCCATTCTTTTTTTTAAGTTCAGGGTTCACAATGTAACGAAATATCAATTTGCAAGTTGTGGTGCGCAAACGAAAGATATACTTTTACCAGTGAAGACAACGCTCTTTCACTGTTAATGCAAATGATATTTAAATGAAGGTGGACATGTGAAAGAATGTGAGATTTTGTCCATTTGACGGAATTTGGCGTATCTTAGACATGATTGGTCAAAGATATGCTCTGGACTGATTTGTACATATTTTGTGTGCCGACTGATCTATCCATTATCTATTAACTTGTTTATCTATTAACTCAATTAATTAATTAATTATCAAATGATCCGAAAGCAGTTGCAAAAATTAATGAAACGATGATGGATTGTCTATATTTGACATTTCAAATCTAAAAAATTAAACTAAATCTGTTTTTATTTTTATTTGTTTTTTTATTTCATTTTTTGTTTTCATTTCTATTTTGTTTTTTTATTTTTTGTTCCTTTTTTTAGTTCTATTTTAGTTTTATTCTGTTTTTATTTTTTTCTATTTTCCAGTTCTTTTTATTTCTGAGAGCAGTCATTATTTCTGGTTTCCACTTGTTTTATTTTATTACTTGACTTATTAGATAAAATAAATCAGATAAAGCAGATAAAGACGGTGGATCATTTGACAATAAAAATATATGTGAATCACCAGCTCCAACCAGCCTACATTCTCTTTGTAAAAAAGCCTTTTAAATAATCAAGTCGTTTCTTATATTGGCGAGAAAATAAAAAAGTTCTATAAAATTATTCATATAATAGGAAAAATATTCTGGAATGCGCGAAAAATCGCTGGTCTTATAACAAAAAATTTTAAAAGATCTTTTTGTGAAAAATGAAGCGAAAAATCTCGCTATTTCATTGAGAAGTATAGTCTTTTAATGATAAAGCTTAAATCCACGAGTGAAGACCTATCATTTGACGCTAATGAAAGATTATTTCGCTTTGATATTATGTAAAATTGTAAGAACTAATCTCACATAATTTTCAAATATTTTTAAAAATTTTATTAAAATTAAAAATTTTGTAGGCTTGTAAAATACCCTATACAAAAGATGAATCAATTAATGGCATTTTTGAAGGAGAATCGTTTGGCGACAATTTTATCTACAATTACAGGTTGCTTTTATAGTTTTTTTTTCAAAGAAACTTCTTAAAGGCTTTTTTTTTAGCACATAGTTTGACGCTTGAAAAAAATTTTATTCGTAAATTTAGTGGAATGAAAAAATTCGCATTTGAAAATTTACAATTGTCAACAATTCCTTTTCATTTCCGATTTTGCTAGTTTTTCTTATTTAATTTAGTTCAATTTTCTCGCTTACATCGTCGTCAATACACGCGAATTGCGTTTCACAATATGAATCGTTTCGTTACGAACATTCAAATGGAAAATGAAAGGAAAAGATTAAAGGAAAATTAGACAAAAAGTTTTTTTGAAAAAATTTCATAAAGAAAATGAAAATGAGTTTTTCTCTTCTTATTTTTAAGTTTAATTATAAAATATTTTTCTTTATTTTTTATTTTTTATTAATTTGTAATAAACTAAGAATTGGTTTTAGTTTTATTAGCAATTATTCTAAATTAGTTTTTTTTTTGGAAGTCTTAGGTTGATTGGTACAAATTATTTCAATTTATTGGAGCTTCACTTTAAAAAATCTCATGCAATATATTCTCAATTTATTGTATTTCTTATTTTTATTTTTATTGCTTGTCATCTAATTCATTTTTATTAAATTTCAAAACTAGATTGACAGGTTTCTTTATAATTTTACCATTATTGATATTGATATACTGCTATTGATCTCTTATTTTTTAAGCATTTCTTATTTCACGATTAAAATATCTTAACTACTGATATTGCTTAATTACTGATAGGTTTGAAAATTTTTTTTATTCGAATTATTTGTTTTCTTTTATTGGCTTATATTTTTCTTTAATAAACATTTTTTTTATACTCAATTGTTATACATTTAATTTATTAGCACTTAGCTTATTTTTTGCTAACGCATTATTTTTAATATATATATATATATATATAAATGTGTTCGGAAATATTCGCAGCATTCCGGATTCCGGAATTTTTTAGTGGAAATTAAAGTAAATTCAATTAAATAAATAAAGTAATTAAATAAAGTAATATCAATAAGTTATCCATTTTTGCTAATAAAGCTTTAAGGGAAATCGGTTTATACCTTTAAAAGAAAAAATAACGCCTAATTTGTAATTTCATATTATTTCATTGCTCGATGTTGGGATTTTTATTTATGAAATAATTTATTTAAAATTGAAAAATAATTTCGTTATAATAATTAAAAAATTATTTTTTGATTAAGGTTGTCTTCCATAATACCGAAAAATTGATTTGTAATAGACAATGTGTCGTTAATTTTTCAGGTAAATCTATGCAGGGGAACTATTAATTATGTATTCGACGAGTACACAGAAGAAAGAATGGACATTTTCGTCACGTCAAGAAATTCTTAAACTTAGGTTATTTTTTTTGTCTTTCAGTGGTTAAAATTCCTATGCCTAAGTCGTTCACGTAATTATTGCCATTATTATGCATATTGATATTGAATGTATTTAAGAGAAATCTTTTTATGCTCTGAGGTGCAAGATGGTAGCAAGCGGTGTAAGGTGATTCTAAACGGTCTTTCGTTATTAGTATCAATTTTTTTCAGCTTTTTTTCGAAATCTGAATATTTTTAAGGAAGGCAGCAAATGAACGTTTTCGAATGCGATACGGCTCAGTTATTGCAGCGGGTGAAGAAGAGATGTTTTTAACACCCAATGAGGAAGCTATTCTTTGTAAAATCGTTACCGAGACTGGTATCAGGTACCAATGATTTAATTTTGTAAAGATGTTGAACATAATTTTCATTTTTCTATTATAATTTTTCTAAAAATATTAAATTTAACATTATATAAGGCTAAATCGAAGTTTGACGAGAATTAATCTCATAAAAAAAAGGTTTCAGGACGGTTTGCAGGTCTTTTACATGTATAAAATATTTGTTGGTGTGAAGATCTAACTTTATTAATCAGTGGAGCCAAATGATGTTGTGATAATGAATAATTTCCTTCTATAATTAAGATTTTCTGAAGGATTTCGACCAACGATGTGGCCTTCAGTGCGTTGGACTGCCTTTGCTTATTTTAAGCGATTTTTTTTGCACCATTCTACTATGGAATATTCACCAAAAAATATCATGATGGCATGTTTTTATTTAGCCGCCAAAGTCGATGAATTTAATTTATCAATTGGAGATTTTGTCGCCAATTTACAGTAATTTCATTTTTTGCATTATTTTGTTTGATTAATGAATGCGAGAGACAATAATGATGGAATATTTTAGATCGGGTACCGCACAAAGTAATTCTGATACAATTTTGAAATTAGAACCTGAAATAATGCATAAATTGAAATTTCATTTGACGATTCACGCTCCGTTTAGACCTTTTGAGGGGCACTTAATCGACATGAAAACGAGATCTTTATTGGGATTTGATTTGGAACAAGTAAGGCCTCACTCCAGTGAATTTTTTAAGGTAAATTACTGAACTACGATATTTTTCATTATTTCAATTCGCTTAATTTCATTCTTTTTTTTTATCCTTTCCAGTATTGTTTTTCCTTCGTCAGTTTTTTACACAAAAGAAAATATTGCAGAAAGCGCTTTTTGGCGATGTTATGCTTCTATATCCACCTTCCCAAATAGCACTTGCAGCACTTAAATACGCTCTTTTCCGACTTGGTTTGATTTTGTTGTCTTTGATATCATTTTTCCTGTTGTTTATTTTTAAACAGCTTTTGTGAAATCTATATTTTTGACATTTAACATTATGAGTCGTAAAATTCAGTGTCTTATAAGAAATGAAATTCGCTTCTTTTGTTTGCTTTACAGATAAATCGGAGGATTTACTGAAAGATCAATTTCTTTACAAACTTCTTAATATTGAAACATGGCAATCTCAGAATGCTCAGTTAGAAATTTGTGATAAACTTCTTAAACGATTGGATGAGATAATTGAATGTGTATTGACTGAAGCCCAGTTACATACGAAGGAGGAAGCCGCATCTTTACATGTAAGTTAATTTTTTCTATTACTATTACTACTTCGATATTTGAAATATTTTTACAAACGAAAAGATGGAAAGATATTCGATTTTTTTTAACAGATAAAATAATACATAACATAGCTAAAAAATATTGTAAAATCGAATTTATTGTAAAAATGTTTTTTTAAAAATTGGCTCAATTAACTCCTAAACAATGTTTATAATTTCAAAAAAATTGGTTATTTTTTTTATCTATTATTGGGTAGGAAATCTTCTTATAAATACCTCGTATCATTGTTTTTGTCGTGCTACTAGGATAAGACATTTTAACTCGTTTATGCTATGTCTGAAAATGGCTTAAGCCACTTTTTTCCGCCATCTAAATCCATATATCATTGTGCCGATTCCAAAATCTGTCGTGTCGGTTCAAGCCTTGATTTGGCTTTTAATATCACAAATTTTGGCATATAGTGAAAAAAGCTTGAAATCCTGAGGTGATCGATGGAGAATATGATATGATCAGTGCAGACACTATTTTGGGTGAACGTGGATGATCATTTTATTCACTTGAGTGTAATTTAGTACTTTATGCGGGTATAGTCAAAAATAAAAAGCTTTCTGATATTCCTCCTTCATTGGTTACCATGAAGTAATAATTGGGAAGTAATAATTTTTTAATTTCTAGGAGAAAATCAATCGTTGGGTACGTATCGTTTCAGATTTAAATCGACGATTACGTTTATCGCAAAGTGATAAGACTGAAACAAATAATAGTAATAATATATCAGATGATGATTAAAATCGAGTGTGGTTTGTTTCTTTTTTTTTGTGCAATATATATTTATGAAATATATATTTTTAATAAATTGAACGACGTGTCTTATCAATCATTTCATTTTTCTGTTATTTTTCCGTTTAAAATCAATCATTTTTTTTAAAAAAATGCCTAAAACTAGAAAAAATTTTGTTTGTTTAATAGAATAATTTTGATTTATAAATCGCGGAAAAAAATGTTTTTTTTTCTTGTTTTATCTGTTATTATTATGTTTCTTTAATTTCAATTAAAAATAAAAATATTTCTGCTTTTTTTTTCTTTTATTAAATGTTTTAATCTTGTTTGTTTTAAGCATTTTTTTTTTAAAATTTTGTTAAAAAATAAACAAAATAAACAAAATACATTTACACAATTGCAAAAAATAAAATCAACAACAAAATCTAATGAAAGGATAATTTAATACTTGAAAATGAGCTATTGTCTCTTGTCTTGCTTATTTTAGAAATATGCTATTTTGGATATTTTTGAAAATAACTTGGATGAAGAGGGTAAATTCCTAGATTTATTCGCGTCTCAGTTTTAGGAGAGTTCGCCCCATAAGTGTGATTTCAGCCTGTCCTCCTTCAGCTGTTTGATCAACATTCAATGATTTTGAATAAAATTGTAGAAATAATTAACAAAATTTGTTAGGATTTGCGATTAGGTAGTGGGGGGGGGGGGGGGGGGGGGGGGGGGGGAATTTATGAGGAACTACTCATCAACTATTCAAAGTGAATTGCATTATACGAATGAAAACTATTGAATAGATGGACTATAGAAATAAAAATTGTGGTTCGTAAAATTTCAAAATAAATAAATAATAAAAGATGTATTAAAAAAAGAAAAAAAATGATCGGAATGTTTAAATATTTAAGCTTTGTTTCGCTTTACGAAATTTTATTTTCACTTTTATTGAAAATATTCACATTATCAATTTTGTTCATATAAATTTTGTGATTTCGTTTAGTTGGATGACTCGTCGACCCGTTTAGATCGACTTAACGATAGATGATCGGATGACCCGGGATTGATTTGAATCGATCGATTAGCTTCGGAAAGGTCAAATTTTATATCGGGTGGATGATGATGAATTTGCCACGCCCAGTTTAATAACATACGCCACGCCTTTCCGCAATGAGCGGTTGAAAAACATTGATAGGCGTGTTTATTTGCAAGGCGTTATCCCCACCCATCTGATCGATTTTTGTTATCAATCGTGAGTTGGTTGCTTGTTTGTCGCTGATGTTTTCGCGGTTTGATTTTATTTTTCGCGCATTTTGGAGGAATTCTAATTCGCAAAGTTTTATTATTATAAGTTTACTTCCAGTGCTTTCCCACTGAATGGTCCATCATAAACGCTTAATACGCTTATTTTCGAATCATTCCATTTTCGTAATATTTTCTGCAAAAAATTTTTTGAAAACTGCGAAATTGACGAAAAACGAAAGAAAAATTAAATATTCTTAATTATGGGTTCGCATATTCGAACTTCAAATTACGATTAAATTTATTTATTCGTTTATTTGAAAAAAAAAGTTATAAAGAAGTTATAAAGCAAAAAATTATAAAGATTCTAAGATAACTTCCGGTTATCAGTTATTACATCCATTGAGATGAAGCAACGTGTGATTGCGCGAAATTTTACAAAGGGGCTTAATCATCAGTCGGGTTTTATTCCTTCTTTTTTTCATGGTACTTTTCCAGTAAATGGTTGTGGTTTGAAAATTCTACGTGAGGTGCACTTGACTAAACCGAAGGTACTGGTGCATTGCCAGCCATTCTTTTTTATTCTTGAAGAAATGAAGGTGGAGGAGAGGGAAGTGAGTTAGCGAAGTCTTTTTGCTCAAAAGCTAAACGATCATTTAGTGTTGTGCTCCTCAGTTGAGTTGACTCTTAGTCTTTCAGCTGAATGAATGGAACATTGGCTGTGAACTGTCAGTTGACCTTTAAATTCCAATCCCACATATATTTCATTCGAATTCTTTCCTCTATTAATTGACTTAGCCATCTTTAATTGACCATTGACCTAATAGCATTCGCTCGTTCTCATTCGGTTGAATTCGCCGACTATTGCTGCGAGAAGGTTTTTGAAAGACGCTCGAATACAATGGGGTGGGGGTGGGGGGTGGAGGAAGTTGTAGTACCATTTGGATTTCATTTACTCTCTTAACAGGTTTATATCGGTGTAGCAGTGGAACTTGTACTGCTTGTCTTTAACCGACACTGCCTACTTCCCCTTTATATCACTTTCATTAAGTTATTCCACGCAAGTTTTACTTAACTTTGTTTTGTACGAAAAGTTTTAGTTTTTCAAATGAAAATTGTAGGCATATTGCATTACAAGGAAATAAGGAAAAACAAAACCCATTGAGAAATTTTCAAGAAAAAAAAAACAGAGAATTGAGCAGAGTTTAATTGCTTATTATTCTCGTTTTCGAGATTTTTAACGGAAAATAAAGGAAATTTTCGCCGATGAGTCGCGGTGAAGAAAATGAAAAATCACTAACATTGAGGCGAACCAAAAGAACCAAAAAAGGTAAATTTTTCAAAAAACTGCTTTTTTTTTCATATCAGCTGTTTTAGTTGATTCATCGATTGACCTCTGACCTTGTAGTTCTCTTTTTCACTGATTTTCCTAATTAAATAGTCGAAACTGCTGATTAATTTTGAGAATCCAATAATCATGGTGATTAATTATTGAACATCGTTATTATTTAATTTTTTATGATAATTTAAGCTTTTTTTTTTTAAAAGAGTTGAGAATATTGTTTTTTTTAAAAAATTCCTCACCATTACTGGTTAAACTCGCTATACTGGCTTGTCGCATTGGGCAATATGCCAGGGAGTTCCTTAAGAGAGCAATAAAAATACAGGTGAGAAACCAGAATCACCCGGATTTTTGCACAGATTTACTCTTGCGAGGAATCGAACCTCAGCATTGGTGCTCCAAATGGAGCGACAACCCGTTGAGCCATTCTATCCTCCTGATGATATTGTATTATTTATTTATTTATGATATTTGAGCATTCGTTCCACTCGGCTATCCTTTCCATTTCAGCATTGAATTCAAAGAAAATTTTGAGAAATTTATCGTTAAAATTGATTTCAGTTATAAACGTAATAAACGAATCACTTAAAACAGTAAAACGTCAGCGAAAAAAACAAATAAAATTAGCGATTATCGAAAAAAGTGAAAATGGGAAACAAATTAGAGCTAAACGAAGACGTGCTGGCGGAATATCGCAGCCGAGCACTTCAGAGTTTGTTTCTTAAATTATTCATAGAAAATCCGAAATTCGAGAAATATTTTAATCCGAAAAATATGGCTTTATCCCATGAAATTATCCTTATGAGAAAAATAAGATTTTTTGCAAAAATTTCAACTGTTTAATAATTAATTAAATATAGAAACGAAATCAGGAAAAAGTATCAGAAAAGTATCAGAAAAAGAAGGCTTATCAATTAAAAGTTTATCAATATTTTAATCATTCACAAAATTATTTAATAAAATTATTAAATAAATTTTTTTTTTAATAAATTTTTTTGCAGATATTCTCCTCAAAATTCTATAAAAAATGATGAACATAATGAAGAAGAAGAAAATCAGCCAAAAAATGGTGATATTATTGATAAAGAAGTTGTAAATATAAACGCTGTAGTCGATGTAGTAGGTTGCACTGATAATGATACAGATCATATGGAAACAAATGATGTTGTAAGGTATGTCGAAATGGATTCGAAAGAGAAAAGCACTGCGAAAAGCAAAGATAAGAAATTAAATGATATTCCAGAACTAAGGGATTCTGATATACAAGTTTGTTATTTTTATTTTGTCTTATTTTATTTTGCTTTATTTATTTTATTTTAATTTACTGTTTTATTTTTTATTTAATATTTTATTTATTTAATTATTAATATTACTATTATATTTTATTTTGATATTACTTCACGTTTTTTTCTTTTTTTTTTGAAAATTGGTTAATATTTTTTTGAAAAAAGATCTAATTTATAAATGTATTTTTGAGGTATTAGTTAATGAAAATGCACCACCAAGCGAAAAATTAATTGAAAATGATAATAATGAATGGGGCAATGATCGTTTTCATTTTTTATCAGTTAAGAAGAATTCAGCAGTGAAAGGTTTTTTTTATATTTTTTATAATTTTTTAATTTTAATTTTTAATTTTAATCTTTATATTAAATTTTTTACAATTTATAATTTAAAATATATAATTTTATATTATTTGATTTTTTCATATAATTTTAATTTTAAATTTAAATTTAAATTTAATTAAATTAATTAAATTCATTTTCGTTGAAATAAATAAGCAAATAAAACTTATTTTTTGCCATTTTTTCACTTTTGCCACTTTTATTTCCAATTTTGATTATTTTGGTTACATTAAATTTTATAACATACTTAAAGCACTTACACTTTTTTCACATTTAACAAGTTTTATGTGAAGCTAAAATCGAAATAAATCACTTAGAAAATTATCATATTGCAGCTTCAGTAAATGATGAAGGCCCGAGCGTAGATCCTGAAATTACGTGCCATGGTTTATATTGCAATGAGCCTGAAGTAGAGATGAACCATGTTTATTGTAGTGAGCCGGATATTGCTTCGAATCAAGTATTAAATTTATTATTATATTATAGAAATTTTTTATAATTTATAGCCTTTCATATATAACTGTTGTTCATTTGCGTTTTCGCTAAGTATTATTTATTTCGAACTGTCGTTTTCTTATAAAATTATGCAGATGGGAACGGTACAACATTTCCACAACGATACTTATGTCACATCTAATTTTGAGATGTTGGATTTATTCACGACACCTACGCAATATCGTACAGCACAACTCATCACCAAAGACAAGTAAATATTTAATATTCCGCTTTCTGTTTGCTTCGATTATCGGTCCAATTATCCACCGTATAATATTATTATTATTTATTATCATTTATTATTAATTATTATTATTATAGTATTTTGTCTTATTTTATTTTGCTTTATTTATTTTACTTTAATTATAAATTATTATTTTACTTTAAAAATTATAAATTATTACTATTTAATAATAATTATTATTAAATTGTGAAATAAAGCATAATGAAATAAATATAAAAAACATTAAAAATTTAGAAAGAAAGCTGAATAGCAAACCAGGCAGAAAATTAAATTTGGATAATTGAAATATATTAAATATTGCACAAGTCTTTGCATCAACCATTAGCTCAATTACCAAAGAGAATGGAATGCATAACATGCAAATAAATAATTATTATAAAATATTATAATAATAATTATAAATAATTATTATTATAATATTCGTAATTTTATATATATATTTGAGGTGCACAAGTAGTTATAAATACGAGTAGTTAAACAAATATTCTATAAAATCTTCAATTAAAGAATATACTACAATTCTATATTTTTTTTTTTTATTTTGCTGATAGTCTTATCATTTCTTTTGGCAAGAATTGAATTATTCTTACAGTTTCTTTTCCCATTCATCTTTTAATGACTTTTTCTGAATAATAGTGATAAAGAATACTTTTTTACAGAACTCTCTATGTGAATCCTTATACATTGGTTGAACATTCAGAGATATTGGCTAGTATTGTGGATAAAAGTGGACCGGAATGTAAAATACAACTTGATGTATTTTTTCTTTTCTTTATTTTTTAAATTTCAAAAAAAGTCAAAAAAACTTTTTAAGATAATGAAGAAAATCGAAGAAAAAATTGTATGTGCATAAATTTTATGAAAAAAATTTAGCATAAATTTTATGAAAAAATTTTTTGAGAATTTCAAATGATTTTTGTTTTGTAGAGTTCTTATATTGTAGTTGTAGTTGAGTTTTCTTATCATATCATATCATTTTCATCACATATTACATTTTGATATTCATTCAGTTTATTTAGTTCATCGAATTTGATGATCTTCAAACAGCGCTACGAATGTTTTGTCGAAGTCCTATAACTGGTGCAAGGGAAACTCTTGGGCATCGGAATGGTAATTCTTATTCGTTTTGTATTTTTGTATTTTTCTTATATCATTTTGATAAAACTTCCATTAATCGTTTTTTAGAAACTGCATATAAAAGTCGATTGGAAAAGCTTAAACGTTGTGTTGTTTTTATTGGATCACTTCAAAAAATCATCGATTCAAAGGATATGAATGACGTAACAACTGATGTGGATCTTTTAAAAACGTTAATTTCTTTTTATGCCTAGAATTTTATTTCATGATAAATTTTAGATGATGCATGATTATCAATATGATTAAATTTAAATTTATTAATAGAGTAGAAATGGGGCATAGAATGGCTCAGTGGGTTGTTGCTCAATTAGGAGCGCCGATGTTGAGGTTCGATTCCCCGCAGGGGTAAAGTACAAAAATCCGGGATCCTGAGGACTCACCCTTATTTTCTATCGCCAAGAGACTCCCTGGCATATTGCCCAATGCAACAAGCCAGTGAAGCGAGTTAATCAGTAATGGTAAGAACTCTTTAAAAATAAATAGAAATTGAAATTTATGAATGCGAAGTTTGTTTAAAAATTATGTTAATTTAAAACCTTGGATATTTATTCTTCCCAAATATTTCTATGCACTCTCAATTCCTTTTTTTTTCTAAATAGGTTTGCTGCAATTTTTTTGTTTGCAGACCAAGAATGAAATCGATCTACGATTATTATACTCCATCAACATACCGCACTTTTAAGATTGCTACTTCTGATGTTCGTACGATTTTTGTTAATATTGGAATGCTTCGAGAATATAGTAAATTATTAACCGCAACTGTGAGGGGTTCATCAAAAACTCAATATTTCATGCCCGTTAGCCGTTTCACTTTTTTTTTTATCCATGACAACGCTCTTTATATGAGAAAAGAATGAAATACGATTGGCATGATGAACAATAGAGCAGTACTGAATTTCGCGTTTTTATAGCGAATTAATATTTATGATTAAATTTAATCATATTTGGATTGGAAGTGAAAAAAAATCAACTTTCGAGAAAATCAACTTTAAACGATTTAACTTGTTTATTTTTTATTTCTTTCTTTTGCAGGTGGTCTATAAATTATTGCATATTAAACCTGCGAAAAATTTTAAGTACAAAAATGAATTTATAGCATAAAAGATTAATTAATTTTGGATAGGTCAGACTACATCGTCAGTTCAATTTCTGGCTAAAAAGTTTATACTCTAATGATAAGATCAGCTCGTTCCACAGTTTATCATTCTATTATTATTAAATTTTTTTTTCAGCAGTTTACATCTGTTGAATTCATAACAGCGATGAATGTAATGTTTCGAAAAGCGAGAAATGGGCGATTTCATGCAATAACTAGTTGGTTTTTTTTTTTGAACGAAAATATTTCTTTTTGAAAAGTTTCTCCTTTATCAAAAGAAAGAGAAAATATGAGCGATAATTCTCATCGCAAACGAAGGAAATGTAAGAAATATAAGGAAATTTAGCATAATATTTGTGAATTGATTAAGGAAAATTTCCTTTTATATGAATTAGAAATTTATTGCAGAAATTGTTAAGTTAATTCATATAAAAATATTTTTCTTAATCAAATTCAATTATTAAATTATTTAAAAGGTACACTAAAATGTAGTTTCATCTAATTTGTAATTTATAGAAATACAAGGAAAATTAAAATTAAAATTTTTTTTGAAAAAAAATTGTACTGTTAGTTGCTAAGCACTTTGTTTATTATGTTTAATATGAATTCTTATAATTTAATGGAAAAAAGAACCTCGAATTGTGTAAAAAAAATTAATTTTTAAATTAATATTTAATATTAATTAATGCTATAGAAAAAATAGAAATATTTCTTTCTTTTTTTTTTTTTAGTTGATAATCTCGAAACTTTATATAAATGCTCCGGTATTTTTGAATGCCTTTTACCAATGTGCAATTCGTTTTCGGAAAACTATTGTGTTGAAGCGATGATGGATTCCGATTGGTCTTGTTTAAGGAAATTATTACTTATTCAGGTAAATCTTTCTCTGAAATTTCTTTTTTCGGTTTTCTTCTAATCATCCATTTCAATTAATTTAAAAGCAGTTTAGTGTATCAAAAAAGAAAAAAAAAGAATTTTTTTGACTTAAAAGTTGATTTATTTAATAAAATTTAACTAAATTGCTTTTAAATTAATTTTTTTTCTTGAAGTTTTTTAAAGTTTTTGAGAAAATTTCAAAAAAAAAAATGCGAAAACCAATAATGTTTTAGTAATATATTTAAGATAGGATGGCTTAGTGGGTTGGTGCTCAATTTGGAACGCCGATACTAAGGCTATATTCCCCGCAGCATTAAACCTGTCCAAAAATCCGGGTGATGCTGGCGACTCATCTGTATTTCTATCGCCAAGGAACTCCATTGCATATTGCTTAAGCCTGTTGAGCGAGTTTAATTAGTAATGGTGAGGACTTTTTTAAAAAAAAAAGCTCGTTCCGTTAGTTTCCATTCGACAAGAATTGTCATGGAGTCACATGGCGAAGTGCATTCGCCACTTCACCCAGATTTTCGAAAGATTCTTTCCGACTGGGAGATCTAGCAGCAGCTCTCCGAAATAAGAGCAATAACTCACTGAGCCATATTTTTTATATTTGAGGGAATGATGCCTTCTGATAAGATTTCACTTTCGCTTAATTGTCGCAGTCGTAAAAAAAGAATGTTTAAGATCGTTATAAATAAATAAGAACATATTTCTTATAAATTACTTCTTTGATCCTATGATATTGGCATATATCAACGATTTCTTTCCAATTCCTACTAGCAATTCTTCAGACAATAAAGCAAAATTGCAAACATATTTTGCTTACACAATATATATATATATATAAAGAACTATGACCTAGCCTTGTCGTGCAGAATGATGAAACCTTTTTTCCATGGTATATTGCTCAATGTGACAAGCCAGTGGAGTGAGTTTAACCAGTAATGATGAGGACTGTTAAAAAAAAAAAGTATTTCTAAGAGAGAGGATTCGCTTTTTGCTTTTTATTTCTATTTTTTATTATCACTTCACCGTGAGTAAATATTTGCAGGCGAAACGACGGGCGGCCGGTGCTGAGAATCGTCCGCTTTTATTTAATTTAATCGGTAAAATCGCTTCTTTTATGTCTGAATCGATGAATATTCTAAAAAAGATTCAATCTTCCGGTATTGCCGACATTCCTATGGGTATTGGAAACGCTCTTATGGTGTCCGTTGTGGAGAAAAGGCATCGAATTGCAGCTGAAGAAGGACTCGAACTGATTATGTGATTCAATCAAAATGTTTATTTTCCCTTTCTCATATTTAAACTGTGTATTGTTTATTTTTAAAAAGTAAAATGAAAAGAAAATGTATTTTTGTAATATAAAATTCAATGGATATGGAATGATAAGGAAATGATACGCTTTGAAAGACTGATAAGCTACCATACTAACTGTGTGGTAGATAAATTTAAATTTTGGACGAGAGGTGAAGGGAAGTGGACAGCGGGGAGGGGGGTGAGGGGGAAGTGTCGCTATTATGTAGCATCGTTTGCTTCACCGCCAGGATCAGATAACTGTGTAAAAACGAACAGCCTGGCAAATTCCTAATTTAACACGCATTCAGATTTGGAATAACTAACTTAATTCGCTTGAATTTGAACCGTTTGTTTGAAGGCTGTGACTGATTTTTTGAAATAATCGGCTTCTTTGTTTCAAGCAAATTGTTGCATTTTTTTTGCATAATTTAAAATTTCTTAATTTTTACTAATTTGTGTTTTAAAATTAATTAATTAAAATTAATTATTTGCATAAATCTTAATGAATTCTCCAATTTTTTTCTCTTTCTTTAACAATTCTACAAGATTTTAAATTTTGTTTTTAAATTTTTTTGAGTATTTTTTGCTATTTTTTTTTTTAATTGAATTTTGATAATTTTTTTTTTTGATGTAAATTTTTTTCATAAAAAAAATTTTTTTTCCTAAAAAAACTCATTTCGCTGGCTTATCGTACTGGACGAATATATATATATATACGAGAAAGAAGTGCATTGGCCATAGAAATAGAGTCGCCAGCTGTCAACGCGATTCACCTCTGCTCAGAGTAGAAGCTTAGCATTTACGCTGCGAATTCGATGCGTAAAATTAGTATGGACGCTCTGAATTCAGCAAACACCTTTCTATTCCCATCAAACGAGTGTAGCGAATTTCAAATCTACAACCCTCTTATATTTTTATATATAAGCATTTTTATTGATTTTAAAATTTGTAACAATAGTCAGAATTAAATTTTTTATATTTTTATTATTAATCTTTATTAATATTATTAATCTTTTTTTTATATTTATTAATACAATAACATGGAAAAATTATTTGGTATATTTTTGGAATTCTCATAGGAATTTTTATTTTCTCATTAATCAAGTTGTTGCAAAATTCGCAGCGCCAATGCTGAGGTTGGATTCGTCGCAGGAGAATCAAATCAAATCTCTCCAAAAATTCGGGTGACGCTGGTGACGCGACTCATCTGCTGTCGCCCTCTATCGCCAAGGGACTCTCTCTGGCATATTTGTCCAATATACGAAGCCAAGCCAGTGGAGCGAGTTTAACCAGTAATGGTAAAACATCATTTGCATAATTCGATCGCTTGGATCTGAATCAGCTAAATAGTTTTCATTTGATTTTCAAGAATTTTTCAGCATTTTTGGTTTATGCGAATAAGAGATCCATGCCATGTCGTGGCCGTAAATCTCCTTGGCAATATTCCTCTCGTTCCCGAGGTCTAAAAAATCCATTTTTTTAATATGTATTTTTTTTATGTGTATACTCATATAATATTCCCTTCCATTTATTATATAATTTGAAAAAAAACGCAGCCTTAAATGAGGAATTGCGGTCCAACTTGATTGACCTTTCTTTTCTTACGAAGCCTATTATAATTTCTGAAAAGGGATACTCATATTTTGTTAAATCTAAAATCTTTAATCACCTTCGCATCGTTCTTTTCGTATCGTCGAACATCTCTGCTTTTCTTTCATAGCCCATTTAAAGCCATTAGAAGGAGCAGCCATTTATAGTTGTTTAGCACCTCACAACAATTCTCATTTTCACCAATTCTCCTCCAAATATCGCTATGCATTTTCGGTGCGACTATAGTCGCCGTTTGTAGACTTGTAGAGGATAAAATAGCTGAAATTGGAATTATTTATGGCTTTCAATATTAAGTTAGAGTGATTCTTTTTTTTTTCACTCCTTTTTGAAAAATCCTTTTTTTTTATTAATTTTTATGATTAATTTTCAGATTTTTTTTTGTACATAAGGATGGCTTTACCAAATTGGAAGAAATGCCGAGAGGTTATGGTTGAAAAGATTATTAAATCACCGCATTTTTACTATCGAAAATTCAATGAAGTTTCAAATGATGCTTTGTTAGCGTTTGCGGACCTTTCCGAATTATCGCTTCAAGCGCAAGAACAAAATTTTGTCAAAGATTTACTTATGGTTTCGTTTTATTTGAAATTATTTAAAAGCTTAAATTATCATATTTTTGAAGGGTTTTGTTCCTTCTTTATTCCTCTTTCATTCCATTTTCCCTATCCCTATAACTAACTGGTCGTACCATCTCGATTTTATAGTCTTTTATGCCAGTTGTTTTTTCTTCTATTAGGTTATTAAGAGTGAAATCAAGTTTACTAAGGTATCACTGATTTCTCCAAATGACCTTAAAATAACCCCTCTCAACGGCTGAACGGCTCCAGGATATTCCTTGGCTATAATCCCTTAATGAAATTTTCTCAAACCCTTTTTTCGCCACTTTAGATCAGCCTGTCACCCATCGCTCAGTTCTAAAATGCAAATTTGTCCATTATTGCACCTACAAATTAAAATATATAATATGACCATGAATTCGAATATAGAGCAAAGGATATGAAGGCCAGCATTAAAAAGAATATTGAAGAGAAATTTGGCCGCTGTGAAAACAATAGCAAGATTTGAATGGATATTAACTGAATATCATAAATCTTCAACGATTATACAATTATTTGAAGATTTTCCATATGTAGAGCAGATCACTTTTTTGCTAGTGTATCTAGCAAAGATCATTGTCGACATAAGCGAGTAGTACTAGATGCATTATAGGACATCCGTTCCTTCTTGCTATTCAATTTTTTTTTTCTAGAATTCTTTTATTATCTCTATTTGTTAAAATAGAGATAATGGAGAGCCATATCAAATTGAAAAATTGTGAATTGCAGACATTTGCTGGATTTCGTGTTGCTAGTATTAGATATCAATATATTGGTGATGCGATTCAATGGGAAATTAATCCAAGCGCTGATGAATGTTTACGAAATCGTTTATATACTGAAGGATGTTTACCATTAGCTGCACAAGTCATTCTCATCCGGAATTATCTTTATTTGATTTTTAAGAATTTAACAAATGGTTTAATTGCATTAAGTGTTGCGAGGTTAATTGAAGACTATATTCAGATAGAATTTATGCCAGTTGTAACAAAATTGTCGCGAGAATCGAACGAACTTTCTTTAACTCTTGTCGAAATATCGACACATATGCGTCCATATACGTTTACTTTACAAGCTTTATATGAAACACTTAATGATATATTAAAGTTGAAATTAGTCGGTGGTGAAATACTTACGCTTTTAAACGAGAAGATTCGTTCAAATTTCTCTAAATCGACGAATTTAATTTTACGAAAAATTGAAAAATCAACATTGACCGATTATTATGGATTGATATTTTCGTGGATTCGTTTTGGGACGATTTTCGAAGATTGTACGCATGATTTTATGGTATGGGATTTGGAAAGGACAAAACTTTTCACGGCAAATCAAATTTTGAGTAATCAAAATAAAGAAAATAGTTCTGATATAGATTTAGGCGATCTTGATGAACGTTTTTGCGCTATAGAAGATTTATGTCCAATACAGTTTACATCTGTTGCTAAAGATATAATAATCTGCGGTAAATATGTGAATATAATCGAACAAATCCAAGCAGCGAATAGTTCAACGCTTCAAGAACAAAAATATTGGAAGGGGAAAGAATTAGCAGATTGGCTAAAGCTCGACTATACTGATATTATAAATATTGTAAAAAAAGCTCGTATCGATGAAAGTCAAAATCTGGTAAATCTTTTAAGAAAACGTTTTAAACTTGACGACGTTTTTGACGCATTACGGTGCTTTATATTATTGGAACGGTCCGACTGGTTAATTTCGTTTATCGATATCGCTAAACTTCCACTTAATCGGCCAACGAAAGAAATCTCATTAAAAAAATTACAAAAATTTTTCGATAACGCCATTGAATGTTCGAGTCTTCGAGGAAATGAACAGCGCTCTATGTTTGAGCCAACGCTTGCAAGTATTGATATTTTTACACTTTTACGATCTATTGCAGAAAGCGATAAGTGTACCACTCTTGTGTCCTCATCGACGGGTTCCGCATTTTCCGGAATCGCCGACAACGAAAAGTTTTTTAATCTTTTCAATTTACGGATAAATGTTCAATCGCCACTTTCATTCGTTTTTCCACCAAGTATCATTCTTAATTATTCATTAATTTTTCGAGTGCTTTTTTCTTTACATTATGCTTTATATATTTTGTTAATAAAGCATAATTGTGAAGATTTAATGAGTGATGAACGTTCGCTTATCGATAATATGTTGCATTTTTTGAATGTTTATATATCACATTGCTCGTTACATATTATACCAAATTTTTGGAATGATTTTATGAAAAAATTCGCAAAATCGACGAGTCTTGAGGAAATCTTACTTCATCAGAATACATTTTTTAAAGAAACAATAGCTTTATGCTTTTTACCAGACTTAGAATTTATAAATATTTTATCAATGATGATAAATATTATCATGGAATATTGTAATGATTCGCTAGTTTTTGAGAATGCAACAGTAAAATGGCAAGATTTATCAGATGATTTACGTCGTATATTAGGTAAACCGAATGAAAACAATGCCTATTTGCAACTTCAAAAAAGAGTATTTTCTCGATTTTTTTAATTTGTTTATTTATAAAATTCGATTTTTTAATTTTTTGCTGAAAATTTATGATTCACATTGATGTTTTGATATTTCAAATATTTTAGGCAAAAATTATTAAGTTTTCGATTTCGATTCTGTGACTTTTTTATATGCCATATTATTTAGATTTTAGTGAATTTAAAATTTATGATGATTTTATCATATCATTTTATCTTATCTTATTAAAATCATTTTTTCTTTTTTATATGTTTTTTTAATTATATATTTTACAATCGCATTTTTTACAGGTTGTTTTTGATTTGATTACAGAGATGGGTTTTTTTCGCTAAATGAAATTTATTTCTTGCTTTAGTACTTTGAAATTTATGCTTTAGAGATTTATTCGATTTTAGTCCTAGTATTGGCGCGGTTCGGTTAAAATTTCTATTATCGATAATAATATTTTATGAATAAATTATTTACAATCATTGTAATATTCTACAAAGAGAAATATACAAATCAAATCTAATAAATGTAAGTACCACTAAATTTTGTAATATTTTTGAGTGATTATATTATCAGCTGGTCTGTGTTTATTAATCATTTATTATTTTATCCATTTGTCAATTTATTATTAAAAATTTTATAAATAGTTGTTTTGCAACATTTTTCTTATCGAACAGAATACGTCTGAATGGCGTTCTATACTGTTTATTTCTGTTATCATAATCGAAGATCGCTGAAGTCTTTTTCTGATATTGTTTTCGTAAAAAGATTATCAATTCAGAAAAAGGTAGAATAAAAATGTTTGAAAGACTTTAGATATATTTTTTTTATTAGAAATTTTGGCTTTTTGTAGAATATTTCTTAAAAATATAATTAAAATATAAAAAGACAAAATAGAAATTTTCCATCGATAAATTGCGCGAAAAAAATGAATTTTAAAGAGAAAGTTGTAAAATTTATATAATAAACTTTACATATAGTAAACTTCTATCGTTTTTTTTCATGTATTGCGCATTTTTTTGTTCATCCGAGAGACGAGCGGTATGTTTGATTTTCGCCGAAATGACGAGCAAGCAACTGCAGTGAGCGCATATAGGGATCAACGTTTCAAGGTCGGATTTTGAATTTTCCAGGAATTTTCCACTTTCCTCGTTTTTTTCTGTTGTATTTTGATTGATTTCGATCAGTTGTTTTTAATCTTTTTTTTATATTATTAAGCTTGATTTTTAAATTAAATTAGTAGAAGGAAAAATTATATTAAATTAATATGGGGAGAAAAATAGAATTTATTTTATCTTATTTAATGGTTATAAAAGTAATTGAAAACTTTTTTCAATACTATCTGTCGGATTGGCTGTGGTACTTTAATGCTTTTCGATATGTGAAAAAGAATACATTATTGGTGTTATTGATCGCATTATTGGATGACTGTATTTTTTCAATGGCAGATTTTTCGATTTTTTTTTATATTTATCAGATTTTTAAGGGAACACTTCAAGAACAAGAAGAGCGATTACTTCGATCGTCTACGCTCTATATTGGCAATCTTTCTTATTATACAACCGAGGAGCAGGTAAATTATTTTCACTATAAATCAGTTTTAATTTTACGCTTTCGAAATACACAACCAATTTTTTTCCAAAAAGTAATAAATCTATTAATTATTTATAAAAATAAATTAGAATTTAATATGGTCAAAGTGTTTAGGTTTATGAACTATTCAGTCGCGCGGGTGACGTAAAACGTATAATTATGGGCCTCGATCGATTCAAGAAGACACCTTGCGGTTTTTGTTTTGTTGAGTTGGTGTTTACTTCCCTTCGAAATTAATTTTCGCAAAAAAATAATGTCGATTGGAGGAATTTAAAGAAATCATATGCTAGATTAAAGAAATATAAAATAATAAAATAAGAAATAATAAAATAAGAATAAAATAAAAAATATTTTATATGGATTAATGATTAATAAATTTAAATGATTAATAAATTTAGCGTAACTTAAGTAATTTGAGCAAAATATTTAGTCTTTTCTTCTAATGAATTAATTATATTCCTATTTTCCTATTTTCGATGTTCTTAAAGGAATATAGTACCTTTACTAATCTGTTAATCAATATTTTTTATAGGTATTACAGGAGAGAAGATGCGGAAATTGCTATGAAATGTATTAATGGAACTAGATTAGATGATCGTATTATTCGAACCGATTGGGATGTTGGTTTCAGTGAAGGCCGTCAATACGGGCGTGGCAAACATGGAGGCCAAGTTTGTTTTTTTTTGTATTGAAGATTGATTCTTTATCTCATGATCTATGTTAATTATATAGGATTAATGGCTTTTGTTATGGTTTAAGTCATTTAAGAAAATTTAATTCATGTTCTGTGATTTCAAGTATTTTTCTAACGGTTCTCACCATTACTTGTTAGGAGGATCCGCTGGCTGCAAAAGTAAGACGTCTCCAAGCTGCTCGGTCCAGTGCCATCGCTAGTAGTGATGTAATTTCAACAAATAATTATTTCTTTTAAGGTTCGTGATGAATATCGTAAAGATTACGACCCGGGAAGAGGAGGATGGAATAAAATGATAGCTGCAAGAAGTAATTTTTTTTTCATATTGATTCGCGGTAAATTGATAATATTCGTAGACGATATTGGAATGGAATTCCATTCTTTATCAAATGCTTTTGATTAACATATATTTAATATTCCAGATGCTACAACTGATGAATGATGGATGAAGGATGATTATAAAATCATATTTTGTTTAAATGGTAAATTTGAAACCATCTTTTCCGATATTTCATGTACAAATGATTTGAATATTATCAGTTTTTTGTTGATATTTTATATTTATTTTATTCTATTTGTTTGTTTTGTTTTTTTCATATTTTTCTAATATTTCCATACGATAATATATTTTTCATTAATTATTAATTATTAATTAGCTCTTAGGAAATTATATTGAAAATTTTTATTCTTCTAATTTTTAAATTACAAATTAAATTTTGAAAGAAAGAAAGAATGAAATAAAATCAGACCAGTTTTTAATTTCATTTCAAAATTTGATTTATTTAATTTTTTTATTTCACTTTTTCCTTATTAGCATTTCATCATAATCATTTATTGCGAAATCATAATGAATCTATTGTGGTTTTAAAAAATAAAATGATCGTTTCGCATTTTTAATGGCTATTAAATGATTTAATGAAAAAGTTGATTTGAACATTCCATGTGCTTTTATTAATAATATTAGTTAAAATTATAATTAATGATGAAAAAAAAGAAATTAAAAAGGAAATTACAAAATAATATAATACAATTCGAATTACATATAATCGGATGGTACAAATCGAGATTTCACACTTCCTGCATGATGTGAACTTTTTAAATAAAATCATAAATGATATTATCTATTTTTAAGATAGTCGTCGAAGATGACGCATAAGATGTATCGTTCGGCAATTTATTCCAGCAATTAATATTATGAATAAAGAAATCATGAGTCCTTAGTTTAGTTTTACACATAGGTTTTAGTAATTTTAGCTCATTAGGTCTTGTTGGATTCACATTTCGCCTAAAATTATAATATTTCGAACCTTTAAAATTCCAATAATTTTCGATAATTATTTCTTCATCATTCAGACTTAATTGTCTAATTTATACTTTTAAATTCAATTTTTTTTTACTCGTTTTTTACTCGTTTATGATTTATAAGTGATTTAGAAAAAATTAATTTTGAAAAAGAATTTAGAATTGTGGTATCTACTGAGGACGCGAAAATTCTTTACATACATATTTCACATAACGTTAGCAAATCGCTTTTGCTAATTAATTTTTTTGTAATTAAAATTTGCATCTCATAGAATCGTTTAAAAATCGTTTTTTCGTGAATATGCAAAAATTAGATTAAAAATATCAAAAATTTACAAAATATAAAGGAAAAGAGATAATCGAATGGTGATAATTTTTTTTTAGAGATTTTTAAATTTTAGTTCTAGTGATATCAGTCATTTAAAAAATTCAACTACAGACGATTCACCTATAATTTTAAATATTATCAAATTATCAAAAATTTCTAAATGAACAGCGGGACGATTCTCAATATGATAAAACTATATTCTTTTTTAAATCCCTTTTATTTATTTACTAACGAAATCGTATAATAATAGTTCATCATTTTATCATTTATAAAATTCTGATAATTAATAGAGAAGATTGTCGGTTGATAATTGCGGTGATTTTCATCGATACGATTTTTGTTATAACAAAAATAAATTTGACGTTTTTGATTCTCGACGAGTTATCATCGTCATCGCACAACAATTATCATCGTCATCATACAACAAACATTCAACTATATAACTGGTTTTTTTTTTTTTGCATAAATTTTATTATTAAAATTTTTTTATAATTTTAATAATAAACGAATTATCTATTTTATTTATTTTTACTTATTTATTTATTTTAATTATTTATTTTTTTTATACCTTTTAATTTTATTTAATTTTTTTTTTTAAATTCTTGTTTGTTCGTACAATTTTCTATAAATTTTATTTAAATACATAAAGAAAATATATTTTATAATTTTTTGTGGATTAATTTTTTTTGATGAAATTTTTTTTTAAAAATATTTTCAAAATAATTTCGTTTTACGTTAATAACGAATTATATACCTTTTTATGAATTATATGAAATTGAAAAATCTTAATTTTATCGATATAAGTTTTTATAAGTTTTTATCGATTATTTTCTTAAAAAGTATAGTACCACTGCTATTTAGTTTAGTTTTCTTGGCTATAAATAGAAGGTGAAAATATCGTTGGATTAAATCAAGGAGTTGAACCTATGAATATTTGGCTATCTCCAGTCTCTTGTCTTATCCCTTATTCATCCATTCCGTCTCTTTTCTTATTCGGCTTAATATGTAATTCCATAACTTTCCATGCTTTAATGCAATTTTTTCCTTGAAATAATCGATTCATTTAAACGAATTGCAATTTTTTTCATAGCATTTGAACATTTACTTCTAATAATTTCCGAAAAGAAAATAAGTTATAATAATAATAATTCTTTAAAAAATATTTTAAATGAGAATAAATAAAGTAAAAAAATAAGTTTAAAAAATTATAATTATAATATAATTTACTCATTTAATTTATAAAAATTAGAAAATTCTTTTAAATTAAATTTTAAATTATTTTTTAAAAATTATTTATTAAATTCCATAATTTATTAAATTTTAACAATTTTTTTCAATTTTTTTAATAATTTTTTCGAATTTTTCAATTTTATAACTTTCTTCAATTTATTTTTTAATAAATTATGGAAGTACTTCAGTGGTTATTCAATATTTCTACTCGTTCAACTCCCTCTCCTAGTAGTTTTTAAATTTTGCTAAGAGAATCGCCTTGAATAGAAATACAAAGGAGTGAGCCACTAGCAAAAGGTTTATTGCTTGGATTATGCAGTGCGATGAGTTTTATTGTTGTGGCCAAACGAAACGACTTCGTTTCTAAGAGTATTCTAAGCATTTCGATCATATTTATACGATTAATTAAGCAAGAATAAAATAATTTAAGCGCATAATTATTTTGCCACAATATTTTTTGTTAATTCTCGTTTTACATTGGATTTTGTAGGAGGCAAAAAAATTGGAATTATTTGAGATAAAAAGGCGAAAAACTGGTTTTATATAAAATTATTTATTTTTTATTTTCTGAAGCGAATGAATAAATTTGAAAAATATGAAAAACAGGAAAGAAATTTTATGAAATTTTTTAGAAAATTTTATTTTTTTTTATGATTAATTTTAAAATTTAAAATTTAAAATAGTCGCAAATATTTCGCATTTTATATTTATCATTTATTTTATTAATTATTATTTGTTTATTTTCATAACATTAAAATTTTTTGTTTATTTACTTTTGTTTCCGAATTTTTCTAAACCAATAAAAAGTTTTATTTCATTTTTTTTTCTTGAAAAATTTATGTTTAAAATTATTGCTGAATCACCAGCTGCGTCCAGAATTTTTATGCCCTTCGGTTATAGACAACTTTTATACCGATAGACTGAGCAGTGCGAGTGATTGTTGTTGCTTCGATTTTAGTCTTAAGTAGATTGCGACGCTATTTCCGATACATTCATGGTTTTTTCATTATTTCATGTGTTATATATGTAGATAGTACCAAAGGTTCAGGCAAATATCCAGGCACTCACCTCTCACCCATATTTGGTATTATTTTCCCCCTTCTCATACCCCTGCTGATTCAATGATAGAAACTTTCTTATCATATCTAACAGCGCAGTAGAGCGAGCGAGAAATGGTGAGCACTTACTCGTTCTTTTCTAATATAGCAAAAAAGAGAATAGAATTGTGCAGTTTTTTTTTCATGTTTATCCATATATTCTCATGGAACTTCGAAAGAAATTCTTTCTCTTACAATAAAAAACTTGAATTTAAGCATAGCAATTATTTAAAATTTTATTTCACATGAATGGTTTATCTATTAATAATTTTTAATTCTCTTTTAATTATTCAACATTTTATTGTTGATTTTAACATTAATTTCCCTTTTTGCAGAGTTATTTTATTGGCTTCGCCACCTTCTAACAATAGCAAAATAATAGAGTAAACCTATTAATGAAGAATTCAAATAGTGTTAAGCGATTCGCTCGAATTTCTTCTATCTTTTCAAATGACTTTTTGTCTCTCTTATATTACCAACAGCGATATTGGCTTATAACTAATTAAAATTTATAAGAGTACCAAAAAAAAAAAATTCATTTTATTTATCATATTTATCATAAATAAATAAATAATATATAAAAAAATATTAAAAAATATGATCGCTAATTTTTGTCAAATAAAATTTCTCGTCGATGAACCGTTAAAACGACAAAGAAAGCTTTTTTTCAAATTCGATAGATTTATTTTTAATAAAAAAAAATTTATTTTTATTTTATATGAAAGTAATTAATTTATGAATCGACAATTGATTCATACCGATTCGATTGTATTATTTTTGCCAACATTTTTGCTTCGATTCGCTTTTTCCTTATATTTCCAATATCGTTTAAATTTTTTCCTTTCATTCAGAATTCGCAATTATACAAATAATTTTTTGCAAATAATTCGTAAATTTTTCAAAAATAACAATAAACTTATAAATAAATAAACTTATTTATTTATTGAAGAAATTTTTTATATTATATTATTATATTTTATAATAAAAATGCCAAATATAATATAAAAAATTTGAATAAAATATTTTGAATAATAGCAATTACTATTTTTGGTTTGATTTGCTCGTTTGTAATTTAAATGAGGTACCATCATCGAAGAGTTAGGCTAAGAGTCTAAGAGAAAGTGGTAAAAATTAGGTAAACAGTACCAATGGTACCAAAGATCTTTAAAGTATAGTAGGAATTATTTATATTTTATAAGGCGATAAAAATATTAGCTTTTCAAAAATCTTTTAGTTAAAGTTCGATTAAATGATTTTACTATACTAAATATGCGTTTAATTCTATTGTCCTTAATGTTCATAAATATTTGAATTCTTTAAATATTTATGTGGTTTTATTGGTTTTTTTCCGTTATCCGATATCCGTTCCGATTTTCATAACCGATAAACTAAATAAAGGCCATCTAAATTTCAATAATATGAAAGAAATTAATGAATTTTTAAATTTTTTTACTAAAATAATTGCTTGTTGCTTCGAAATAATTTTTATTAA